TACACAACAGTACATACCGCTACAAATCCTTCATTCACACTAGGCCAGTAAACATACAAATCTTTCATTCACACTAGGCCAGTAAACATCTCTAATACACAACAGTACATACCGCTACAAATCCTTCATTCACACTAGGCCAGTAAACATCTCTAATACACAACAGTACATACCGCTACAAATCCTTCATTCACACTAGGCCAGTAAACATCTCTAATACACAACAGTACATACCGCTACAAATCCTTCATTCACACTAGGCCAGTAAACATACAAATCTTTCATTCACACTAGGCCAGTAAACATCTCTAATACACAACAGTACATACCGCTACAAATCTGTCATTCACACTAGGCCAGTAAACATCTCTAATACACAACAGTACATACCGCTACAAATCCTTCATTTACACTAGGCCAGTAAAAATACAAATCCTTCATTCATACTAGGCCAGTAAACATCTCTAAAACGTGACAGTACATACCACTACAAATCCCTCATTCACTCTAGGCCAGTAAACATCTCTAAACCACAACAGTACATACCGCTACAAATCCTACATTCACACTAGGCCAGTAAACATACAAATCCCTCATTCACACTAGGCCAGTAAACATCTCTAAAACATAACAGTACATACCGCTACAAATCCTTCATTCACACTAGGCCAGTAAACATCTCTAATACACAACAGTACATACCGCTACAAATCCCTCATTCACTCTAGGCCAGTAAACATCTCTAAACCACAACAGCACATACCGCTACAAATCCTTCATTCACACTAGGCCAGTAAACATACAAATCCCTCATTCACACTAGGCCAGTAAACATCTCTAATACACAACAGTACATACCGCTACAAATCCTTCATTCACACTAGGCCAGTAAACATCTCTAATACACAACAGTACATACCGCTACAAATCCTTCATTTACACTAGGCCAGTAAACATACAAATCCTTCATTCATACTAGGCCAGTAAACATCTCTAAAACGTGACAGTACATACCGCTACAAATCCTTCATTTACACTAGGCTAGTAAACATACAAATCCTTCATTCATACTAGGCCAGTAAACATCTCTAAAACGTGACAGTACATACCGCTACAAATCTGTCATTCACAATAGGCCAGTAAACATCTCTAAAACACAACAGCACATACCACTACAAATCCTTCATTTACACTAGGCCAGTAAACATACAAATCCTTCATTCACACTAGGCCAGTAAACATCTCTAAAACGTGACAGTACATACCGCTACAAATCCTTCATTTACACTAGGCCAGTAAACATACAAATCCTTCATTCATACTAGGCCAGTAAACATCTCTAAAACATAACAGTACATACCGCTACAAATTCTTCATTCACACTAGGCCAGTAAACATCTCTAAAACGTGACAGTACATACCGCTACAAATCCCTCATTCACACTAGGCCAGTAAACATCTCTAAAACATAACAGTACATACCGCCACAAATCCCTCATTCACACTAGGCTAGTAAACATCTCTAATACACAACAGTACATACCGCTACAAATACCTCATTCACACTAGGCTAGTAAACATCTCTAATACACAACAGTACACACCGCTACAAATCCTACATTCACACTAGGCCAGTAAACATCTCTAATACACAACAGTACATACCGCTACAAATCTGTCATTCACACTAGGCCAGTAAACATCTCTAATACACAACAGTACATACCGCTACAAATCTGTCATTCACACTAGGCCAGTAAACATCTCTAATACACAACAGCACATACCGCTACAAATCCTTCATTCACACTAGGCCAGTAAACATACAAATCCCTCATTCACACTAGGCCAGTAAACATCTCTAAAACGTGACAGTACATACCGCTACAAATCCTTCATTTACACTAGGCCAGTAAACATACAAATCCTTCATTCATACTAGGCCAGTAAACATCTCTAAAACGTGACAGTACATACCGCTACAAATTCTTCATTTACACTAGGCCAGTAAACATACAAATCCTTCATTCATACTAGGCCAGTAAACATCTCTAAAACGTGACAGTACATACCACTACAAATCCCTCATTCACTCTAGGCCAGTAAACATCTCTAAACCACAACAGTACATACCGCTACAAATCCTACATTCACACTAGGCCAGTAAACATACAAATCCCTCATTCACACTAGGCCAGAAAATATCTCTAAAACGTGACAGTACATACCGCTACAAATCCCTCATTCACACTAGGCCAGTAAACATCTCTAATACACAACAGTACATACCGCTACAAATCCTTCATTTACACTAGGCCAGTAAACATACAAATCCTTCATTCACACTAGGCCAGTAAACATCTCTAAAACGTGACAGTACATACCGCTACAAATCCCTCATTCACACTAGGCCAGTAAACATCTCTAATACACAACAGTACATACCGCTACAAATCCTTCATTTACACTAGGCCAGTAAACATACAAATCCTTCATTCACACTAGTCAAGTAAACATCTCTAAAACATAACAGTACATACCGCTACAAATACCTCATTCACACTTGGCCAGTAAACATCTCTAAAACGTGACAGTACATACCGCTATAAATCCTTCATTCTTACCACTGACGAAATTCACAGACGTTTTTGTCATGAACATCAGTCCTAGTTATGTCTTCTGAATAATATTTGACACGGGCGACTGTAACATGGGATTTACATGTACCTCCAATACATTTCAGTATATCATACTGCTTGGTAAAAAGGTGTCTCTGTTGGTTTCATTATAGGAAAGATCGAGCGAAGCCGCGGATACAGAAGAGACTGTGGTGTCCTTATTTCAGGTTTAGTGAATATATACGATTGACGTTGTCAATACATTTCTTGGAACTTCAGAATAAGACGTCAGAAGTGTGAAAAAGGATTTTAAGAATAAGACGTCATCAGTATAGATAGTGATATACAAATGTATTAATGTTCAGAAATTTTTGTACAGTATGCATAAAAAAACTTAAACACTAATTTGTGAAAAGCTACTGGTCCTGCAAATATTTAACATAATACAAGAAAAGTGAAGGCTGTCATGGTGTCACGTGTTAAACAACCCATCAGGGTGTTAGGGTCACTTTTCGGGTCAAACCACTTAGAGAATCTGTAGAATGATCTGAGTAAAACGTTTTGAGAGAGTAAAATCAAAGAAAAGCATATGGTAAAAACCATGTATTTGTTGGATAAAACAAACGCCAAAATGAGTACTTTTCGATGCAAAACTGTGGTCCATATTTCTTGAAAGGACCACTCTCTCTAACGTTGTTCAGTATCTATCCAGTTCCACAGAGATAAAGTGGCATTTAAGGTCCAACCCTGGGAATACATTTGATACGTATTTGTTTTTTAAAAATCTGAACCGTCAATTAGGCTGTGTTCCATTGTAAGCATATATTCGCATTTGTAACAAACAGGTGGATTTTCACCAGTAGAAGGAAAGAGCTGGTACGATATGTTTGTCCTGTTCGAAGCCGAAAATGAACAACATCCTGTCAACGGTTTACGTGTTTAGGAAGGCATGTTTCCTGAATGATATATACTCTGTAACTAGCCACTTGAGACCGTCGTTACTGCTGATCATCTATGATGATGGCTGATTTCAGATCAGTACACGACAGTCGTAAAAGCTTTAGGGTATTTACAGCATTTTCATCAACAACGATTCCTACGTGTCCTGGAACTACAGAAACGTTATCAGCGTTTGTTGTGAGATATGTTTTTTTTTTTTTTTTATTTCATTTTTTGTAAGTCAAGTGATTTGAAACTTTCTTAAACAGGGAGGCAGTGTGTTTGAGCACTTAATTGCATTTTTGGCACGATTATTATGTATTATGTAGCGGCATATAAATAGCACATGCTTCTGCATGGAATATGGATGCACCGCTATAAGGACACCGGTCCTTTTTCAGCCTGTCAAATACAGAGAAAGAAGCTGATTTTATCACTGTTTTCCTTAAAGCCTAATCCTTCAGGTGATTACGATGTAGCTTGCAATATGAAATAATCAATGTACTGCATAAATGGAGCGCCTGACTTCACGACGACCTATCTGACACACGTAATCTATCAGATTCATGTCCCGTGAAAGTACAACGGCTGATTGATTAAGTTGTGAACATCATGTTCAAGTGTTTGACTTTTGGCGGACATATTGCATTATTTTTCAACATAATCCAATTCAGTATTTATGTATTTTTGCCAGCGATGTTTAAGGGCCTCAATGCCTCTTTTAAAGAAGTCATTTTCTTGACCTTTCAGAAAGTCCTCAACTGCATGTATGACGCCATCATCTGGTACAAGAGATTGCCTTTTTCAATTTTGGAAATAGAGAAGAAAGTCTGATGGAGCAGATCAGATCAAAGACAGACTTGCGAACTGAGACATTGTTCTGGTGGAACAAGACACCTTTACTAAGATTTCCACGACACTTTAGGGTAATATTTTTTCTTACCTGCCTAGGAAGTGATTCATACTATGTGCCATTGATTGTTTGAAGACTCTGTCTGCCATGCTTAAATTTCTACACCCACCTTTTCACTGTAGCATATGAAGGGACATCATCCTCTAGTGTTGCTACTATATCTGTATGGACATCTTTAGGTGCTAGACCTTTCATATGCAAATATTGTTTCACTGTTTAGCTCTTCAACATTAACTGACCAAATGTCTCCAGTCTTCCGGTACACATCTTTAAATATTCGTTGAATAGTAGAGTGGAATAAGGACATCCCTGCTTAACTTTATCTATCCAAGGTTTAACTTATCAATCGGCCCTCTTATACACAGTTCCTTCACTTTTTGCATTTTTGCACAATTATCGTCAATATAATGGCGTGCCAAATGAACCGGAAGTGTATATTGCATGGTGATAATTTGAGAAGAGTCTTTATACATATATATCATATTCCAATAATTGTTTTTTATTTGTAAAATAAGAAAACCACTCAACCACGGATGTGTCATTATTTATTGTAAAAATATATGTATTCGGAAATGTACAATGTTTTTTTGTATCATAATCTATTTCTTTGGTAACTTTGAAAGATGGGAACACGCGTTTTCTTCAAATAAAACATAGTACGTTGTATAATACCAAATCATTACTTTGCGCCCAAAGAGCAAACTACAGACAGTAAATAATTGGGTTATTCGATAAATACATACTTGTTTTGTTTTCAATGTACATAGGCTATGAATGCAAAAACTCTCTACTTTATTATACAGAGAGAAAAGATGCAAAAATGTTGTATCGAATAAAGACAAATGATTATCTATTTCTATGGTAATTTATTAAAAACTCTTTAAAGATGTTAATGTATTCATATATAATTATATCATTATATCTGAAATAACATCGATACATTGTCGCTGATGACGTCAGAATTTGACAAAAATGAAATAGCCAATCAAAATCGTGATATCACAACACATGATCTTATATGAGTTATGAGTTACGGTGATTTAGATGTAATAAATGAGTGGTGCAATGAATGCCAGACAAAAACAACTAACAGTGAGTTCAAGTTTACATCTTTACACCGCCGTGAATCTATCATCATCTGCGAAATAGATAGGGTTGTCCATGCAGTGTGTTGGACTCGACTCATTTTCAAATAATATCTCTTTTGATTCGTCTGTCTGACCATCATGCTGTATTTGGTGATTGGTCACTACATCTGGTATACTAGTGGCAGTTACACCAATCACGATCCCGTCACTATGGGAGTTCATACGAACTTTGACCTCTTTCATAACATTTACATCGTCACAGTTACAGCGTTCTTCCTGCTCTAGCAGTGACTTTGCCTGTTGACCATTTTTACGAGTGAACGATTGCATCTTCACAGCATTATCTGAGTAAAATGGTTTATTCCTCGGAATCTTAGTTAAAGTATAATCCTCTAATTTGAGATTGAAATTTACAATATCGGAAAGATCAAACGAACGTGAACGCTTCCGAATGTAATACTCTCGCAGACATATACAACACCCTATACAGATAAGGATGAACGACACACAACAAGCGACGATGATGACGATAATGTCCACTTTGTTCAGACCTATCTCGTACAAGTCAGGAGTGCCAGAGATATCATAATCTAAGGGCACTCGCTTCACTGACACGGCCTCATACTGGTATTTAGAACCCGTCCTTTCAACCGGAACCGGAATTTGAAATTTTAGTTTTCTGTCGGCGACTAATGTCTTTAAGATCTCTGTAATATTTTTACTCGTTGTACTCGTTATTATAAAAGATATACGTATTGGTCGACAGGCGATGTCCTTTGGCTTAATATCCGAGTGATCGATGTGTAATGTTTTGGCAAGTGTTATAACAAGTTCCTCCCAAAAGATTTCCAAAGCTGTTTTCCTTTGAACTAAAGGATTGCACACACCATTGAACTGTATTTCAAAACTGATATTCCTAGCCATTACAGGTGGTAGCCAGGTAGTGATGGAATGTTCTGGGGATAGACTGGTTGAATGTTCCGGAGTTGCACTCTGGGATGGTGTTATTACTGACGTTGAAGGTTGTACACGAGAACTTACGACTGATGATTGTAGAGAACTAGATGGTGTCGACATTAAAATTAAGGATGCCCTTTGCGCTGATGTAGTACGGTCCGTCACAGGTGTTTTATGAGTCATAGTTGCCATCGTGGCGATCGTCGGAACACTGGCCAATGATGGAGTCACTTGTTCCTGTCGTGAGCTAGTGATTGTCATTCTGTCAACCGAAGAAGACGTAGCTGGCAAAGAGATCGTATGCAGAATCTGAATCACGCCTGACTTAGATGATTCTTTATAAGATGAAGATAAAGTTATGAACTCGGATGTGGTGTGAGATGTCATCAAGTAATCTGGTAGCATCGAAGCAGTCTCCTGTTTTGTCCGGGTAGTTTGGATATGTAACATTCCTTGTGTTGTGGATAAAGACTTCAGTGATGATACGACTGAACTCATATGGCTAGACGAAGATTGGAAATGAACCATACTTGTCGGGGATATGTTTATTTTACTCAATATATTCAAAGTGATTGGGACAAACGTAGAGAATATCTTGCTTGGTTTTGGTGTAACTGACTCTGATAATGACTGTTCTACAGTGATATTGCTTGATGATTGAACAATAGCAGATGAAACGCCAATCGAATCGATGGCAGAAGACGACGATAATGACAATGACGAAGAGGGTGCTACTGCTGATGAGATAATTGATGTGTAAACACTAGCCAATGTAGATACAGAATGTCCGATCGCAGTTTCCGACACTAGACTAGTAGCAGATGAGAGGGCAGGAGTTAATATGTTAGAAGATTGTCCAGCTGCAATCGGTGTATTAGTCACAGTATGATTTGTGAGAGAGGGGGTGACCATCAGGTCGTCAATGCTGGAAACGACACTAGCACTAAGAGTTGACGCCGATGATGGCGACATCACTTGGCTGCTACCGCCAGGGGTCGCGACAATTGTAGTGCTGACCACACTTGGTTGCTCCCTAACCGAGGTCACCGATGCCATCAAAATTCCGACTGGCATTGAAGAAGTCAAAATCGGATGCCCAGGAGATGTGCTGCTAGCAATGATGGGCGCTGAAGATGACAACCCATCGTTTCTGTTCGATATTGTAGCTGTCGGCTGAATTGTGACAATTGAAGAATCGTCTTGGATGACTGATGAGGAAACATCTACAGCAGCGAGGTCAGTAACCAGTGTTCTAGTGCTACTGACTTCAAGAGCATGTGTGCTCATGCCAATGGCTGTAGAGGCCTGTGTAGACAATGGCAACACATGCGCTGAATATATGCTTGAGGGCGCTATGACGTGAAATGAATTTTCTGCCAAAACATTTCCACTGATGACGCAGAGCACCGCTGAAAATAGAAGAAACACTATCAATAACGAAACGGGTCAATATTATTGAATATTCATAATCAAATATACATACATCACATGTATATTGTAATAACTTTTCTAGCACGTACTTAGATAAGACTAAGTCTATGGCTTTATGTAACCGCCTATCATAGAAAATAAATTGAAGAAAGCTTTATCGATCCTAAATGTGTCGTTTTTTATGTTTTGGCCGATACAGATGCCATTGACAACGGTGTTTTTATCAATTAAATACTTTATCAACCTATTAACCTCTTTATTAGATACAAAATAGAGTCAACCATAAAGAATCGGATCAAAACGATGATTGAGCTTGATTTCTCGACCGAATGAAGAAAGGTTCGATGTATTTTTCCTTGTGCTGCGTTTTTTTCTCGTACTATCTCCTTTTGTTTATCTTGACCAACAATGTTCTTTGATAGAAACTGATAAGAATTGTTGCATGACAGTTGCGAAATATACCAAGATAAATGACCTTATTGTACACTATATTTTCTTTACGAGTTTCTGAAATTTTGCATGATAAATTTAGAAGTTGTGGTTTACAGAAAGAATACTACGAAGATTAGCGAACGTTTTTTATAGTCAATTTCACCTAATGGAGTATATATTTCCATCCATGCCACGCGATCAACAAGAAACCATTTGGTCAATGATTCGACTGAAAGGTATGGTAATCACGGTAATAACTCCGTTTCTTTCCAAGAAGGATCACTGAGCAGTGGCTAGTATTATGATGTAAAAGAGATGCCGTGAGCTTTCTGATTATTTGTACAACGCACGTGTATAAGTGCGCACTCATTTGAATATGTAACACGTATTTCCCTTTAGCAATGACGGTTCATGAATACTCATGATTGCATTTAAGAGACTTTACTATTCATTTGAAAGCAGCCGCAATATATCAATAACGTAGTGCTAGTATTAAATATGATGTATTACTGAAGTTTAAAACGACTTTTTCAGGTGTTCTCTCGTACTTCATGAAAATAATGTAATCACCAGTGTCCGTACGCGATGTAGATATAACGAACAGTACAGACATGGTGAATATGACAGGGGCGAGGACAAAACTACAATTTCTGTAGTCTCTGATAGAAAAGTGGCATACATCTACAAAGTATAGCGAAGTTTTAGCGTATGTAACGATGCTAATTAGAACAACGTGCGAGTAAATTAGGCAAACCACAATAAAGACGACCATAGATGATATCTTAGATAGTGTACCTATCAATATTGTACATACATGAATTGATAACTATAATTGCTCATTCTTATAATATTGAGGAACTTGTTATCGATCGCGAAAACAATTCGCTGTGAACCCTTTCAATATTAACGTTTTGTGTCGTTACAAATTGGTTGTGATAAAACCAAAAAAACATTAATACATGTAAATTAAGTTTTTTTAACTTGTATACATGCATTAAGACATGCCAATGTAAATTAGGTTTTATTAACTTGTATACATACATTAAGACATGCCAATGTAAATTAGGTTTTATCAACTTGTATACATACATTAAGACATGCCAATGTAAATTAAGTTTTTTTAACTTGTATACATACATTAAGACATGTCAGTGTAAATTAGGTTTTATCAACTTGTATACACACATTAAGACATGTAAATTAGGTTTTATCAACTTGTATACACACATTAAGACATGTAAATTAGGTTTTATCAACTTGTATACACACATTAAGACATGTAAATTAGGTTTTATCAACTTGTATACACACATTAAGACATGTAAATTAGGTTTTATCAACTTGTATACACACATTAAGACATGTAAATTAGGTTTTATCAACTTGTATACACACATTAAGACATGTAAATTAGGTTTTATCAACTTGTATACACACATTAAGACATGTAAATTAGGTTTTATCAACTTGTATACACACATTAAGACATGTAAATTAGGTTTTATCAACTTGTATACACACATTAAGACATGTAAAATAGGTTTCATTAACTTGTTTATATACATTAAGACATGCCAATGTAAATTAGGTTTTATTAACTTATATACATACATTAAGACATGCCAATGTAAATTAGGTTTTATTAACTTATATAAATACATTAAGACATGCCAATGTAAATTAGGTTTTATTAACTTATATACATACATTAAGACATGCCAATGTAACTTAAGTTTTTTTAACTTATATACATACATTAAGACATTCCAATGTGAATTAGGTTTTATCAACTTGTATACATACATTAAGACATGCCAATGTAAATTAGATTTTATCAACTTGTATACATACATTAAGACATGCCAATGTAAATTAGGTTTTATTAACTTATATACATACATTAAGACATGCCAATGTAAATTCAGTTTTTTTAACTTGTATATATACATAAAGACATGCCAATGTAAATTAGGTTATATTCAATTGTATATATACATTAAGACATACTGCAATACTTATACACAGGTATGTAATGGCTGGAAACTATTTTATCCGTCTCCATCAGCCGGTAAATCGGTCCACTAAAAGGTATAGTAAATCTTACTTCAACCATAAAAACACCACTTACTATTTGCCATTATAGGCTGTGTAGTGATTTATGCTTCGGATATTTTGGTTGCTTTTCCTTGCCCCAAGGCAGCTGCCAGAGTGCATGGTATAGTATCATATCTCTTTGAAACTTATAACACATTATCGTTTACTCTGATGGCCCATTCATATTCATGATTAAACATAAGTGTATTTCCTTTTTGTGTATAAGGTACTTAAGAGTATCCATGATTGAAAAACGAAGAAGGCAACATCATGAATATTTCAGTAGCAGTTGAATGATGTTAGAATGTCACTCGATTTCAAAAAATATATTTTTTGGATTAATATCTTCCGTACAAGAGTGAGTAAAATCGTACATTTCTGTGCCATGAGACACAATGCTGAGGACTAAAACTAGGATGTTACAGACTGTACAACAATAGAATTCCAGTTGCATCGAAGATCAGAATAGAGGAACATTTATTGCGGTGACGTTATCAGAAATTAAAAAGACTGTTCATGGTAACATTTTCTTACCACACCAAGATTTTATGTATAAATTCACACTGTAAGACTGTAAATTGTTTTACAGTACTGAAACTCTCCCGGGACATCTTTCCATGAACATGTTCGTGATATAAAACGTCTCATTTGAATATCACAAGTGAGATCAGGTGCTATGCGTTAAATGAATAAAGGAAATTTAATAAGACGCAGAGAGCAATCAAACTGTGTTGGACTAATTGTAAGCGTGCCTACATTGGTGTCTGAAGGTGATGCCTGTCAATCGAAATCAACAATGTAAATGAACATTACGCGGTGTGATTTCAAATAAAGTCACTATTGTTTTCATAGTGTATTGATTATAAAAGAAAAGTAAAGAAAGTCAAATTTAAATCGAGATGAGTGGATAGTTTATACCAGAAAAATTTCCTGAGAAATAACACTGTATATGATCTACGAACCAACACATCGATGGTTTGTTGACGCCAGTTCAACAATTTCAACTAAAATTATTTTCAGATGACAGTTTTTTCCTGAAATGGTTCCAAATTATTTTAAATACACATATTTTGATATTATTCAGTTTTAATGTATGCGTATATATAATATCAAAACTATAGCTTGGTAATATTAGTTTAAATGTTTTTAAGGACTTACCAAAATGGACATGAATCCAAACACCGACATTCCATGTAATCATGCTGAGGGATTTTGTGGGCGTCCTTACAGTCCTGAAAAGACATGTAACAATGGTAAAATGCCATTTCAGAATCACAGATATTAAATCAACCGCTTTCGTGGGATCCTCTTACCCTTTCACCTATGCCAATCGTTACTAGAAATCAAAAATGATAATGGAGATTTTGAATCGATCTGACACTTCCAGAGAAAAAAATAGCAGATCCTACAGCGGTTCACACGGGAGTACTTTGCCAGTGTCTTGTAATTGACTCCCCCGGTATCATTGAATTGGTTAGTAGCTGAGGAATACCATTATATAGACAGATAAATTTATTCTACCACTTATTTCCTACTCCTTCTCTTGTAAATAACATGTATCACTGTGGAGTAGTCGAGACCTGCTTCTATGCATCCTTTCCTAATGTCAAATACCTATTACATAGACTTAAATCCCCAACAACACTATGTTATATATAATGTCAACATTCCTATTCCCAGGTCTATTTTCTACTCTAGACAAGACACTATGCCCTCCCAACACATACAAACTTTAAATCTTCTGAGGACATTTTTATGGCCCTCATATCCCTAACCACTCAAGGAAGATTTGAATTCTCACACATCCTATGCGCTCCCTTAAGTGGAGGCGAGATCCCCTATGCGAACTTTCATTACGGATTCTGCTTTCATTTGCACCATTTTGACACAAACTGTTCAATAGTGCCGGATTTCATTCTACAGCATCAACTCTACAGTTGCCTAATTGCCACCATTGTTAAGGCTTTGCAATCATCGGGCATGGATCTGAAATAGCCACTTATATCGTGTACTGGAAGTAGTAGGCAATGTCTGTCTACTCAGTAAAAGGAAAACACAATAGCTCTGACGGACAATGAAACAAATGTAAGCCAGATAATTGAACTTTTAATCTTCGTTAGGGTAGGTTCGGTGCTTGCCTAACGAAAACAACTGTATTATACGATCAACCAAAATTAATTCAGCTAATCAACCTCTCCTTACTCTCGCGACAAGATTATTTGGAATGTTAGTGTAATGATTAATTAGACAATTGTGGCAAACATTTGCCTTGTTAGTGTTGTACGAAAAATACAGAAGAATAGGAGGATAGATAGAACTGTATCATACGGCTCATTCGTCCTTTTAGGAATCTGTACTTGGGTTACGGGCCGGCATAGTGAAACCTTTGAAGCGACAGAGGAAACTCAAATTGGTCGAAAGAAATCTTAAAATCTAGATTTATGATGTTTAACTACCGGATAATTTCAAAGATTGATCAACAAACACGTATTTGAATTGAAATGTGCATGCAAGTGATGGTAAACCTCGAGGGTATCAGGCCAATGTCAGCGTCCACGCAGAAATTACTACGGCTTGTACAAATGGCTCAGTTTATGTTAAAAGTCTTTGGCACAGTAAGTGCATTGTACTTTATGATCCGAGACCTTATTTGTCATTTCATTCTGTATATTACATGAGCTATGAGGTATTAAGAATCTGTTTTGCAGACACCTAATTTAACATCTGAACTACTTCAGGATAATCTGAATGCAACCAAGCCGTTCGTGAAAACATTATTAAACAGTATGGTTTTCTTTACACTATATGTATATATATATCATTATTAAGTCAGCTTGGGACATTAATTTATAAACGGTCTCTCTTATTGCATTACACTTTAACTAAAACGTTATTTGTTTTCATGGTTCAGGATCAAAATATAAAAATATATATAAAATGTAGCAATCTAGTCAATTATAACAATAAAACAGACATAAATCACTAGCAACCCTTGGTGTTTATACTTAGGCATTGCCAGCTGTATAATTAGAAACAACTACGTATCAACACATCTAAGGTCAATGGCGTACTTTCATTTTGGTGACATGCACTGTGTGAACGGTCTCTGTTAGATAATGATAAGAAAAGCACGACAATTAAGCGGTAAAATCAGATTGAAAATGAACCAGTGATTGGTTGCTTTTTGACATGTGTTTAAAGTCATATTAATATTCCGTTTTAAAACAAGTCATTTATTCCAACATAATTATTTTATTCCTTATACACATATTCGTGAACATGATATTTTGATATACCGGATCTATAGAGGAGTGATAATAATCTAACTAGGCTTTACCTACAGAGTATGGGAAGTAACACTCAGACATTTCCGAAAACCTGTCTATTTATAACCTCCCATACTTTACTATTACTTCCCTGGTTATATATATTCTGTGCTTTGAATGGAATATTGTAAATTCATCTGTTTTCCTTGTGATCAAAGTTTACCGCTTTTCAAAATATCTTGCTGTTAACTTTTATTTTGTAAATAAATAGTATTGAAATATCAACAATCTGATTTTCTGAAAACTTTTTCATCATTTCGGAGTCACACCAATTCGTGTCATAAATTTCCCACGGAATCAGCTAAGATAAAACAAAAACCTAATTAACGATTTAAAGGTATTTGACATAACTCTCAGATAAACATCGATAATGTATGACAATAAAGCAATATTACATTAATTAGCTATTCAGCCTTGTATGAAAACAAAAACAAGTCAGCCAACAAAGGGTAAAGTTAGTTCCCAAAGGTGTACCAATCCTCTGTTGGATGACTTAACTCCAGGGAAACATAATGACCCTAGTGATAGTTGAAACTAAACAGGACGGAAATAACATAAACCAAAATTAAATATCAAATTTTTCTATTTAAATTGAAATATTATGAAATTTAAGCCTAAATGCCTCTTCTTATTTGTGTTGTTTTGATTTACACGGCGAGAAATTTAGTATATTTTATGTTTATTTTACTCCTCAAGCATGTCTGATTAACTAGACCAGGTTTATTTTACTCCTCAATCATATCTGGTTAACTAGACCAGGTTTATTTTAATCCTCAAGCATATCTGGTTAACTGAACCGGGTTTATTTTACTCCTCAAGCATACCTGGTTAACTAGACCAGGTTTATTTTACTCCTCAAGCATATTTGGTTAACTAGACCGGAAGGTGTCCGAACAAAAAGGCGACATTTCAGTGTAATTCCGACCCAACATGACACATACGTTGTGGTATTTTTACTTAACTCCAGCTGGGACAGTTGAGACCTGTGGATTGTGGTTGCTAGCTGAGTGTGGTCCTGTATCATAACCTTTATCCAGTATGTACAGGGCGAGGCTCTGAATAGACCTGTAATGGCAGTAAAGACCCGCCCAATATCAGTATCTAATGTGCCAAGATAACCCCTTGCCAAACCTAGGGGTGGTTACCTGAGCATGCTATCATACGCCCATATGAAACTAGGAAGTTTAAGTTGGTAAAACCAAGTATAAGAAGAAGATCATTCCAAATGTCTGTTTCTGATTATCATTATAAGCTGTTTATGTCTCACAATTTGTACAAATTTCAGATTAGAAACACCCTGGATCAAATTTTCGGACATCTGTTACTGTGATCCGCCCAGCTGATTTTAAGTTTGTTGAGTATGTTCATATTCATAAGGTCGTCTAAACATAAGATATGACCATCATAACATGATGTATGTCAAGATATATATATATAAATATTTAATACACTGAACATATCATACTTATACTCTGTTCTGTTGCAGGGCGTATCATTTGTAGCCAATCCATCATCCAACAAACCGTTTACTTATGTTGAGATACAAATGTCTTCCGGCTTAATGTCACCATGGAAACCAGATGTTACAGTAAACCGTACCAGTGTATAGTACACATAAACATACGACAGAGAAACGCCGATACTAAAACAATGGCGAGAAAAGTTGACACCTATTACAATTGTTCCAATCGCTTAAAAGAAGGGATGTGTATATGGGGCGAATTTTATTTAATTTGGACATGATAGAGCTATACAATGTTTTATTTGTTGTATTTACTTAAACATCTCCAGTTAATTAAGCAGAACGTTAAGTGAGCAGAACGTTAAGTGAGCAATTTGGATGTCTAGCAATTCGACTGCTGGAAAATCCTGTTTTTGTGAAGATTTTATTTCATAAACTTCTATTTCGTTGATACTTAATTTCGTAGATAAATACAAATAGTATTCAAGATCACAACTGGCACTGGAATTCATGTCATTATGTTACTACTTATCCTGGTCTTATGAATTCTAGGGTCAAGTTTATCCACGAAATCCACAAAAATAAAACTCTATCAAAAATTAGTATTTTACAGTAACAATTATAAATTAATATGGTATATTTCGTAAGTGAAAACTTCCAAAATAATCCATATGGGAAGTACTCCTGACAAAACATTGTTAAAAATGTGTACATGTTATTACCAAGGCACGTGATAAGAGACTGAATCGTGACAACAACAAAAACAAAGAAGGGGCAGAAATAACGATGACACTTATCTTCAAGGAATAACCATGAACACATCAAGATGACGACTTATTTTCTTACTATGCTCCGTTTTCAACAACGGAACAATGGGAAGTGACGTACACGTGTGTCCCAAAGAGAATAATAATATCTTATAATCTAAATAATTGAGTGAACAGAAAATTTAGTCACCATAATGACTGTTGTTTCACACGGGAACTGGATATACCTTTAATCATCCTTACGTCCATTGACACTTCAGTCCATGTAATTGACACTCCTAGAGTACGTACAGGAACATCGTCTAAAATACCAACCAGGGATTGATTATGTGGATTAAGAAGCTGATAAAACAGAGGATGGTCTTTTAAACCCATTTTTATTATCGCCGGGGAATTTATTGGAACTGTTTTTTAGAAACATGTTACTACAGTTTCATTTTCTTCCATTCTAGGCTATTGGCTGTCGAAAAGCTCAGAGTGGCTATTACTTTACACATTTCAAGAGTAAACAACCGCCATATGATGCCACCAGCAGTTTCAAGATGTTGTTGAAAGATGTTTTCACTGTGATAGGACTTCATAGCCACATAAAGAAACGGATGTTGAAACGCTGAAATCGATTTTTATTCTAAGTCCAAAATTGGATTACAATTGTAATCGCTGTCATCTTTGTTATT